TGACAGGCCTTCCCAGTCCTATCCCAAAGAACTCTGCTCTGTGACTGACAGGCCTTCCCAGTCCTATCCCAAAGAACTCTGCTCTGTGATTGGCAGCAAAGAAGGGTTGTGTTGACATCCTCAAGGATCTCAAATTGTGAACATCGTCATGATGTAAAAAAATTACTCAGCACAGCTTTCCTGGTCATTTTCCCACCCGTGCAGTTTTCACACTCAGTCACTGCCCTCGACTCAATTCCAATTCACAGCGACCCTGTAAGACAGAGTAGAACTGCCCCCAAGGGTTGTTAAAGACTATAACCCTCTATAGGAGTAGAAAGCCTCATCTGTTTTCCTCGGAGTGGCTGGTGGTTTTGATTTGCTGGCCTTGAAGTTAGTTGCCCAGCACGTATCCACTGCGCCACCAGGGCATCTGTATGCAGTTTTACGTTTTCTTAAAGTTTTTGTGTAATAAGCCCCTGTGACTATTCTGTTGTCTTTTGAGAAAATGTTTCAAGATTGCTCCTTTGGAGCCCCCAAAATGCAATTGTCGTATTCTTTTGACTTGACCTCTTAGCCTTGAATTTCACTGGTCCAGCAAATCCTTTGGCAAGCCAGTTTAGATGCAACCCTCTATTTGAAGGCACCCTAGTGAGGATAAGAGAACCTGTCTGCAGCTATCAACTGACCACAGACACATGCAACATGTTTCGTATAAACCAGGCGTGTGTGAACTGAGGCCCAATAACAACACGTTTGACATACCTTGGTTTAGTTAGTAATGATGTCCTCGTATTAAATTTTAAGAAACTATGAGCAAGTTGAGTCTCCTTTAAATGTCATTATGTCACTGATATAGCTTGACTGTGATCTGTGGTCACCAAGTATTAGCGTGCTTCTTTATTCAGAAATTTAAGGAAGATAAAATTAAACATACTTCCATTTTTTGCCCCTCCAAAATTTAAATAAAGACTATTTTGTACACGAGTGCAGTGGTAGTGAATAGCTTTTATTTTTGGAGTCCGGATTCAGTGATAAACTTGCAAACAGAATTTTAAGCTTGTTTGGTGTTCTATTGAGATGTCAGGCTTGACAGGAAGCGAACACAAAAGGGAGAAAAGCCTGTAGTTCTGAAAAAACAAAATAGGATGTCTGTTGTGTGTTTAGATGGTGGATCATTAACCTCTGGTGCACTTTGCACAAGGTTTTTCGTGTTTACCATTAGACTTTGCTATATATACACACACACATATACATAAAAGTTTGTGGGAAATTTTTTTTCAATTTCATTTTTTACAAACATTTTGATGCTCTTGTATGTGTGTGTCTGTCTATATGCATATATATATTCTACCTTATATAAATATATGTTCTATATAATTACATTATCTTTTAATTCAATTTTTGTATGAACGGTTTGAAGCACCCTAATGTGTATGTGTGGTATGTATGTATGTGTGTATGAATGAGCGAGGTCTCAGGAAGGTAAGTGAATTATAAGATGATTAATCTGTTTTCATATTTAAAAAATATGTGTAAGTGCTATGGTGCACCATAATAATATGTAATACATTTACATAACCCCATGCCACTATAATAAAGAGTGAAGTATTCTGAGTTTTCAAAAGGTTTCATGAATTAGTGAAAATAATTATTGAAAATATGTTTATATTTTTATAAAGGAATATACCTATTTCTTCCTTCATGAAAAATATATAATATATATACATATATAATTTTTAATCTGATTTCTGAAAACCTAGCTCTTTTCATGCTCACCCGGTGTTCCTGATATCCTACACCTGCAACTAAATGGTAGCTTCTCCAATGACTTAGGTTGCTTGATATCATTACTTAAGATCAACATGGTTTTATTTTGTCCTAAGCATAACTTAAGGGAGCCCCGGTGGTGTAATGTTTAAGCACTCAGTTGCTCGCAGAAAAGTAGCAATTTAAACCTACCCACCAAGAAGAGGAAAAACCTGGCAATCTATTCCTGTAAAAATTTATAGCTAGAGGCTCATAGGGCGGGTCCTACTTCCTGTGCACGGGGAGGCTGGTGCCGGAGGAGCGTCCGCAGCCTGCACACTTTGTAGCCGGGACTCCTTGCACCTCTTCAGTTCAAAGCAAGGGCCAACCTGACTTCAGCTTTCCCAGGATGACCAAGCAGCTTGGCTATGACCTGGAGACCGTTGAGAACAAAGCAGAATCCATCCTCGCCCACTTTACCAAGGACCTCTAAGCCCTGCAAGGTGTCTGTATGAGGCGCAGCTGGTGGAGTCTGGGGTAGACGTGAGGCAGCCTTTGAGGTCTCTCCTGTGAAGCCTCTGGATTCACCTTCAGTGGCTATAGCATAGGTGGGGCCCGCAGGCTCCAGGGAAGAGCCCACAGTTGTTCTCTTACGTTAATGGTGATGGTAGTACTTACATGTACTACACTAACTCCATGAAGGGTCGATTCACCGCCTCTTAGAGACAACTCCAAGAACACACTGTTTCTGCAGATGAACAGCCTGAAAATCGAGGACACGGCCATGTATCTTACTGTTCAAGACACAAACCTCCCCTGCAGAAAGGAGATTGATCTCCAGTGGTTCTCAGGACCCCAAGCCCACTGGAACTCAGGGCCACATGGAGATGGCATGTCAGGACTAGTTTCTTGTTGTATTGGGGAATTCTTGTTGATCCCTATTTTCTTCAGGAAGAGGGTGGGTCTCCACTTTTTTTTTCTTCCTCTACTACTCTCACAAACTCCTGAAAATGCGACAGTTTCTGACTTTGCTCTTGTATTTTGCTTGTTTCATTTAGTGGTTGTAAGTATTTGTTAAGGTGGGAAGAGAGCGACAACAGACCTTTTATTCTTAGTCCCAAATTGCATTCATAGAGTTCACCAGGTAACTGATCAGATTCCTGTCCTGTGCCTCTTGGCTCCTGGGGTCTTCATGTCCTTTTCTGTTCAAGACACCTGCAGGTTCCTTATAAGTTTAGTGGTTGGCTGTACCTCCAACCGTTAAAACAGAATAGCCTTCTCTAGAGATATGTCCAGGGGCTTGTTTTACCTCAGCTGAGCCTTATGACTACTGTAGATAAGATTTCACATTTCTGTGCCACACATACAGGGGTAAAGGTAGGGTGAGTCCAGACATAACAGCCC